CAAGGTGGTGTTTTGCCAAACATCCAAGCAGTTTTGTTGCCGAAAAAAACCGAAAAGACTGCCTAAATTTCATTTCATCCTTATTTCCAATCATTTTCTGTATAAATACCCATCATTATTCATACAAAACGGTCCTTTTAAGGACCACAATTTTTTCAAAAATGAATTTGAGCTTTTTTTAGCATTTTTAAAATAAAATTTTTTTTAATTTAAAAAAACAATGCAAATGTTTTTTCAATTTTTTTTTTGTTGGTATAATGTGGACAAGCAAAACAACTAAGTTTCAATACGATTCTTCTTTATTCGTGATTCAATTTTCTTATCACGAATTTCAGCTGAAATTCTCATAGGACAGGCAAGGCAAAACTATCGATACACTTTGTTGGTCTCCAGAGTATCAAAATAGTCAAAATTATGGCCATAAAATCTTTATGTATTTTTTGATTATAAGATAAGCAAACAAATTCAAACATGTAAATGAATCAAAAATGTAATTTTATTTTAATTTTTACAAAAAAAATAGCTCTAAGGTCGTCAATAAAATTATGGTCCTGAAAAGGACCGTTTTTTGATGTAATGAGAAATATAATAATGGAAATGATCAGCGATGATAATATTCAGGAAAAATTAAATTAACCGCCAAAACCATACAAAGTACGTCCTTGTCGTTTCAAAGCATAAACAACATCCATAGCGGTGACTGTTTTACGTTTAGCATGTTCGGTATATGTAACAGCATCACGGATAACATTTTCAAGGAAAACTTTCAGGACACCTCGAGTTTCTTCGTAGATCAAGCCGGAAATACGTTTGACACCACCACGACGAGCCAATCGACGAATAGCCGGTTTTGTAATACCTTGGATATTATCACGAAGAACTTTACGATGACGTTTAGCGCCACCTTTACCGAGACCTTTACCACCTTTACCACGGCCAGACATTTTTGGGAAAATTTGTTGGAAAAAAAAGTCAGAGAAATTCAGCAAGGAAATCAAATGACGAATGATAGCTAGAAACTCAATGCTTTGAATTTATATACACATGACATGGAACACGGTCGAACTCAAAAAATGGGTTGGGCTTATGTCAACACTGTCAGGATTTTTTCGCGCGCAAACCAGATTTACAACCGTCAGCACAATTCTCAAGAGAGAGAGAGAGGGATATTTTTTGATCAAAAATATCGATATCATTGTTTTACAACTAATGAAGGCAATTAATTTCGAAACTTTTGGATGAAAAACTCAGTAAAAAAAAGTGTTGAAAACAGTTGAAATAATGAAAACGATACTTTTGAAAAAATTCAACAAAATTATTTATAAAATTAAAAAAAAAACAGAAACAACAACCGGTAAGGCATCATTAATGATGAATTCTATTGAACAAAAAAAAATTCTAAATAACCCTGATGATGATGATTATTTAGGACTTATAATGAACGAATATATTGATTTCATAAACAAATTACAACAATATGTCGATGAATCTAAATGGATCGAATTAACATTGGTAGAAGATAGATGGAATCTTGTACAGGAATTTATTGAACAAAATATGGAAAACTATACGGATTGTGAAAAACTTTTGTATTGTTTTGAAAAATCGAAATCATTGGCAAACAGAATATCTTTCGTATGTATATTTTTTTCGGTTATTTGAAATTTGTCTATCAATTTACAAATGTCTAATGTTTAAAGATTGAAGCTCGTAAATCTTTTCGTCAAGATCATTCGTTGGTCATCGCTTATAATCGATTACGAAATAAAGTAACATCGGAAGAAAGTTGTCCGATTCATCGAAAAAAGTTTAGGACTCATCCAATTATGTTTAATCATTTGCGATCATATCATCCGTAAGTTTGTTTGTTTTGTTTTTTGTATGCATCAATCATGAAATTGATTCAAACATTTCGCAGGGATGTTTATGTTGGATACAAAGCCTGAACCTTTACCGGCCTTGGAATCGGGATAATTCATTTTGATTCTATGCTCATCATTTCAACAATTTTTTTTTCAAATAAATTTTTAATTTTGTTTCAAAAAAATGATTTTATTTTACAAAAATTTTAAATTATGATTTTTTTAAAAAAATGCTCAAATCTCAATCGGAATAAAAATGTGGTCCTAAAAAGGACCGTTTTGTAAATGAATGAATGATTATAAAAATGAAATGTAAAAATTTTCTTTTAGGCACGTTCGCCACGAATTCGTCGAGCCAATTGGATATCCTTCGGCATAATGGTAACACGTTTTGCATGGATAGCACACAAATTGGTATCTTCAAATAAACCGACCAAATAAGCTTCGGATGATTCTTGCAATGCCATTACAGCTGATGATTGAAATCGGAGATCGGTTTTGAAATCTTGAGCGATTTCACGAACCAATCGTTGAAATGGTAGCTTACGGATCAACAATTCTGTTGATTTTTGATAACGACGAATTTCACGAAGAGCAACGGTACCTGGACGATAACGATGTGGTTTTTTTACACCACCGGTTGCTGGAGCAGATTTACGGGCAGCTTTGGTTGCCAATTGTTTACGTGGTGCTTTTCCACCAGTTGATTTTCGGGCTGTTTGTTTAGTACGAGCCATTTCGAAGTTATTTTTGCTTTTGATTTGATAAACAACTTTCCGAAGAGAATGACAAAAAACGAATGAGTAGCGTGAGCAAGTTTGATGGACCTATTTATATGCATTCATCAAGACAAGGCAGTTGATGAAGGCGGAGTCATGAAAAATTGGCGCGAAATTTAAATTTGGAGGGAAAATCAGTGGGCGGGATTTAGATTTTGAGTTTTCATATGAGAAAAAAAATCCTTTATTATAAACAACAATGTAAAATATTAACAAAAAAGATTAAAGAAGATGAATCAAATTTTTGCTAATCAATGGTGATGAAAATCGCCATGATGTTGATGATCGATTATTGATTTTAATATTGAATTCTTCATCTTTCAGATCAAGTGTAAATAATTCAACGGCAAAACGTTCGCTACTGAAATCAATATCAATAAAACGAATACCGAAAATTTTCTTTTCCATTATTATTGATCTTATTTTCGATAATTTGCTACCGAAAAAGAAAAACAAAGAAATTTATCACATGATAGTTGATAGAAAATACAATACAAACCTTTTATTATTTGGATAACCATGTAATTTACATACAATAGCAAATGGTTTTGTTATTTTAAAACGATCATCCAAATGATAGATATGTTTCAATGGTATTTGATAATATCGGCCTGCATCGATTGCATAAATAATATAAAGTGTAGTATAATCATGTAATGATCGACGTTTTAATGATAATGTTTTTTTCTTTTTCAATAATCGATTATCATCATTATCATTATCATTGTTGGATACTTTTAGTGGTAAATCTTTTGCACTTTTTGATTGTGTCATTGATTCTGGATGTAATTGTTGTTCATATTCATTATTATTAGTTTGTGATTCGTTCATCATATCTCGACCAACAATATGACCACGAAGAAACAGACCTGATTGTTGATCATAAAAAACAATTGTACTGCTTGTATTATTCTGTTCAAATATACATTGTTCGGGTAAAAGTCTTAATGATGATGATGATTCTTTCGAATAGAATTCACTTGTTATAAAAGGGCAAAAAAATAAGTTAGAAAACAGGCTATCAACATTTTTCTTATTTCTTACGTCATATCATTAACAAATTGACGGAATGGTGTATTAGATTCATCAATATTTCTTATGAATTGACATAATTGTTCATTATCAATTTTACGTTCACCAAATGGTAATATTCCAATGAATTTATTTGGTTCAAAATAACAACTTATAACCAATAAATAGCTTATTTTATCGGGCATAAATGTTTTTTTCAATGTAACATGTCGTGAATGTTTTTGTAAAATCCAATCTAATTACAAATTAGAAAAAATTGAATATTTAATTAGATTCATTTGGATAACCATCATAAAATCATAAACTTACTTGATAATCTTGAATCATGATGTAATAAACGACAATAATAATCAAATAATAATGTTGATGAATTTAGTTCATCACAATCATCAATCGATTGTTTCAATAGATAATCGATTTCATTTTGTTCCTGGCTTATGATTTTATCATTCGAAATTGAGGATGAATGGTGTTGGTGGTGGTGATGGTGATGGTGATGGGTGGCTAAACTAATCTGAATTTTAGCTAAATTCATTGAAAAAAAGAGAGAAGAATTTACAGATTGAAAACAAAAAACATATTTTCATTTTATTCCAGAAAAGAGACGTTTTGTTTTGATCATAATTAAAAGCACTAAACAGTTACTACATGTTTTTTTGAATGATTTTCATCAAAGCAGCATCGATTGTATTGTAATTTGTTAAGCATAATAATTCAATAAATTTTGATGGCAATCCCGATGATTATGAGATAGATGATGCGAATGATATAAAAAAGCTGATTATGAACAAGAAAAATGATGTAGCAGCCAACCAAAATAATGATGGTGATGATGATTCATTTGAGCTTTCAATTATCATCTTGTTGTTGTTGTTGTTGTTGTTGCTGTTGCAATCATCTGCCTTGTCAATCATTTTCATAACGGTTTGAATGTTGTTATTTAAAAAAAAACAATAAATAATAAGAAAGCGGTCAGAAAATCGGATAGCGGCTATTGATGAATTCATTCATTCAACATATATATTGGATTCATTTGAATCAACAAAATTCTTAATCGAAATCAGAGAAAAAAAATTGCATCATATTGGAATCCCTTCATTGATATCAAATTCAATTAGATTAATATCAAAGAAAAAAAAATCACTATGCTAAAGAATTTTTCAAGATTTTTTCTTTCTACAATTTGATTGAAACTTACGTTCAATGGATAGTTGCAATAAACTATTTGGTGATTGAGGTGATGATGATGGAGATAATGATGATGTTGGTGATGGTGGTGGTAATGTATGTAGTTTTTGTTGATGTTTGATGTTGTTTTGGCTAGGGCTGTCTGAAGATGAACAAATGGACTTTTTTATCATCTTTTCGTTGTTCACTGTCATTGTTTTGCTTAGTGATTGATTTGTTTCGGTTTCGATTGTTTTCATCGTCGTATTGTTGTTGGTGATAATATTCATCAAAGGTTCGTGGCCGTTGCAATCTTCGTCGCCAATCATCTGTATCGGTACTACTGGTTGTTGATTGATGCAAGAATCGAGACATTCGTTGTTCACGTCTTTGATTTCGTTTAATGTACCTTTCTTTTTTTTACTCCTAGTTTTGATCTTAATTTTTTTACTATTAATTGATTCATTATTGACTATGGGACAGCAAGCATTTTCATTGTTTGGATCCATTGATCCATTCGATTCAGGTTGAACATTATCATTATTTTCTATTGTTTGGAATGTAGATGGTAAAACATTAGCTACAATTGTTGTAGCCGTTTCATTTGTTATTGTTTTTGCAAGCTGAATATTAAAACATGTTTCAATATTTGGTTCTTCTATAGTCGATGATGTATTATTGTTGTTAAGAACTTCATTAAATTGTTCCATCCATGAATCATCTTCGGCTACATTGCTTGCATAATTTAATTCAATTAATTTACGATTAATAAAAATTTCATAATCATCAGCTGATGTACACCAAAGTAATACATGAGCAATTTCATCATTCAGATTTGCATTTGTTTCCAGTGATGATTGATTATTTATTTGCAAAACCGATGCTGTCAATATTTGATCATAGGTCATATCTTCAAAAAATTGACAACATTCCATTGGCCATTGATCATAGTATTGACTAGTTCCATGAGAAGATTGTTGCTGATGATGATTATGATGATGTGGATAAATGAATGCTAATGATGAACGTACTGCAAATGCCGGTACTTTTGCCATTTCATTAGTTAATGAACGAATCATTTGTACATGTACTAGGCTTGAATAACCTGAATCAATATCTTTAACCAGAACATAATCATCATGATGATCATCATTTTCGGAATTATAATGTTCATCAAGATTAGATCGATCAATAATCTGTACACGACGCCAATCTAATTCATCATCAATATAGCATGCCCAATATGAACCAATGGTCAATGATTGATTTGATGGTGGCATACAAACTGACAATCGTAATTGACGTTCATCATCATCAATATCATCATCAGCATTTAAACCGCCATCTTGTTCGATTGTTTCGATTGATTTATAAAAATTTTGAAAACTTTCAAGAAAATCTTCGAATGCATTCGTGCCGATTTTTTCATCATTAATTATCAGATAAAAATGTGATGGTGAAATAATGTGACAAATTTCTACCAATAGATAACGATTAAGATCAATTTTCGGTGATGGAATTATTGATACAGAATCGATCGATTTCAATGGTATCATTATCGAAATTTGTTGTTGTTGTTGTTGTATTAAATGTTGTTCATCATCATCATCATCACGCTTGGTTTCAGCTTCAACTCGACGACGACTTTTACGTTTTTTTGATAATTTTTTCGAATTATATCGTTGAACAGGAGGAGCATTGAGCAAAAATTCATCAATATCACCAGATTCTTTATCATTATTAACATCATTATCACAGAGATATTTATCCAAATGTTGGCCATAATCACAATGATTTGGTGATGGTGTTTTAGCTATAAATGTATACATCGGATCAATTGTTGATAATTGATAATGATGACCATCAGGAACGATTATTTCTGTTGGATTATGTTTTTTCAATTCAACATCAATCACTGTACATTGTCCATTATTATTAGCAGCCGTATTGATCGATGAAGATTGATCCGGAATTGTTTCTGTTGTTGTTGGCCTTCCATACAGTTGTCTAATTTGATCTGTAACAGTTTTAATTAATTGTTGTTGATTTGAATTGTATACGAAATTATCATTTAAATTATCGAAATTTGACATACTGCTACAATCGTAGAATGTACCGGCTGATGAGCTAACTGCTGTTGATAATATTCGTTGTTCTTTTAATCCATTTGTTTGATTATAAACCATTTGAATTGTTTTTGCATTACTACCATCGATTCCGTGTATTTCATCAAATGATGGTGATCGATCTGAATTCCTTGATGAGCCACTATTCAAACCAAGCAATTGATTGCTACCTGAATCGCTAGTATCATTATTCAATAAATGAGCATAAATTGTTGATATGTCATCACGTGAATGTGAACGTATCGTTGTATGATTATTATTTGATGAATGATTATCACTACTTTGTGTTGGAGAAGGTGATAATTTAGCTGTCTTAATATTGGAGCTATCTATATTATTATTATTATTATTGGTGATATTTGATTTGAAAGCAATCGGTGGTGTTAAAAGCATTAATTGATTTTTTGAATTTTTCATTGATGGTAATGATGATTCGATACTCAGATTGAATTCGGCATTTTCTTCAATTGGAATTTCTTCTCGATGATGATGATGATAGCTACCAGCAGATGATGCTGGTGGTTCATAACCAATGGCACCGGAATATCGTCGTGGAAATGCAGGCATCGAATTGACCCTACGAAAAAAAAACAATGATCATGATCAAACGATCATCTCGAAGTAATTGTTGATCTGAAAATGAAAAACAAAAACAAAAAACTTACACAGCATAATCTCTTGGTCGATCATGATTAATCATCATCGATATTTCACCATCCGAATTAATATTCAAACAACCAATTTTACGTATTAATTCATCATTTTCTTCACGAATTTCACGTAATTCTTTACCAAGAAAATCAACTTCAGCAGTACGAGCATCAAGTTCATCTTTTAAGGATTTATTTTCAGCTGATAAAAATTGTCGATCTTCTTGTACGGTACGATATGAAACAGAAAATTCCATACAAACATCAGCAAAACGTCGTAATTCACCAATAAATAGCTCACTAAATTGATTAATCATTGATTGTGTATCCGAAACGAATCTTTGTATACACAATTGTAATTGTTCATCTTTGTCCATCAATTTTGTTGGTGTTGTTGTTGTTGTTGCAGTAGTAGTAGCCATAATGATTATGATTAATTAACAATTAACAATGGCCACTGTAATTCAATTTTTAAATTTCATTTTTTAACGATCAGAGTAAATAGGTATTTTCTTATTCTTCAATTGACTTTGAATTGTTGGTTAAAAAAAGAAAGCAATCAAAACAAAAAAAAACATTGAATCATTTTTAGGCAATGAATGAATGAATGAATAAATCAAGGAAACAAAAAAAGAAAATATTCTTATCGTGATTGTCGTCATCGAAAAAAAACTTATACTCACAAAATGTACAGGTACAATTGGTTTGAATCACAAGATACATCATCAAGATGGTAATCATCATCGAAAAGAATCGTGTAATTTTTCTTACAGACATTAAGAATTGCAATGATTTAAAAAAGAAACTTTTTTCATAATAATATTAAGATGAAATATTAAGAATTGAAGATTTTCTTTCTATGTCACAGTTTTTAACAGTGCTGGTGTAAGGCAAGATTCTTGGCACGAATTCAGTTTTTTCCATCTTGTTTTTTTTTTCTTTTTATTATTATTCCTTGATTATCATCATCATATGCCGAGTTTTATATGGTACTTTGACGAATAAATTTAGGTGACTTTGTCGCTGAATAGTTGATCACTAATTTCTTTTTCGTTCTGGATTGATGAACGACAGCAAAATTATAACCCTCGCTTTTTTGAGTTTTAAATAAACTTTTTTTTTAAAGAATGATTTTTGTAATTTTTTGTTTTTTGGCAATTTTCGAACGTTATGACATAAATCGAAAAAAAATGAATTTCGAATGAACGACAAGAATTTTTTTTCCCATTAGTGTCTATTTTCACTTGTTCGACACAGTTATGGAAAAATAGTTTTCGAATCATGTGTTGTTTTTTTTCCAATTTTTCCATTCGAAATAAAATTCCATTTTTTTGGTAAAATTGAAATCATGTCTTTACAACGTGTTTCATTAATTCGATTGATTCGAATCGATCGATTTTGTCCAAAAATTTTTAATCGATCCATATCAAGTAACAATAATAATCCATCATCACAATGGGATTTATTTGCTGGTATCTGTCTACAACGATGTCCATTGATTGTGCCCGAATTGAATTGGCTAGAAAAACGAGCACAGAATATGTTCAACAAAATTGAACTTGCCAATAGTCTTTATTCGGATCATGAAATGAGACATTTTGAAAATTTGTAAGTTTCAATTTATCTGTATTTGTGTAAAATTGTCATTTTTTCATTGGATAGACGTCGTGCCGAACGTATAGCATCTGGTGTAAATGTTAGTGAAAAAGATTTAGAAGAAGCAGCGAAACAAACAGCACAAGATTTTGAAGAAGCTTCGATCAAAGAAATGAAACAATTTCAATTTGGTAACTCGGTTACAAGTATGTTTTGAAAAAAAAGTGTTTCAGAAACGTTTTTAAAATCTATTTTCATTATTGTAAATTGTATAGAAGCTGATTTATCAAATAATGAAAAATCTATTGATAGATCATTGGATAAATATCTTTATTTGGTGATCAAAACAAAATTAGGATCAAATGAACATTGGCTTTTTCCACAGGAACAATATCAACCGGACCAAGATAAATCATTACGACAAACAGCCGAACGTGCATTGGAAAATTGTTTTCCATCTAAAAAAGATAAATCTCCCAGTGTTATTGTAAAATTTTTGGGTAATTGTCCATCGGCATTTTATAGTTATCGATATCCACGACAATTAATTGATGAACGACAAAAACAAGGTGCAAGAATATTTTTATTCAAATGTCAATTAGATGTTAATGAAAAAGGCAAACATTCAGCAATTCAAGATAAAACGTTTGGTAATCGAATATTAAAAGCTGAAAATTCTATTGATTTTAGTTGGTTAACACGAAATGAACTTTGTCAACGATTACCCGAACGATATTGGAAACAATTAGGATTAGCAATCTATCCGGATGAAATTATCAATATTGATAAATTGATTCAATCATCAAAACGTCGAAATATAAATAGGCTAACAAAACGATTAGAAAAAATTGAAGTAGCTAATTAAGAATGTTTGTATAAATAAAAAAAAATAAATTTTATTTGTTATTATCATTGATGATTAAAGATAGAATTTCATTCATTCATTCTTCTTGGTCTTTAAATCATAATAATGGCTGTTGCATAATGATACCATAAATTTTTTCATATGGTTGTTTTGGATAACAATATGCACCGATTGTATAATTCCAAAATATTAATGTAACATCGATACCCATTTGTATCCATGAAAATACCGGTACAATTTTTGATCCTTCAATTTCAGTCCATTCGACTGGTATTTCACCGATTGGTAATTGTAAACGTTCAGCTAATAAAAGTAATTCAACATCAAAAGCCCATCGTTCAATGTGGGTATGTGTGAATAAAATCTGCGCCACGGTACGTGGAAACAATTTAAATCCACATTGTGTATCGCGTACAGTTTTTACTGTCAATAACCATACAACAAAATGAAAACCCCACATCAAAAATGTTCGAAATAATGATCGTTGTGCAATGGATTCTTCTTCCATATGAGCACGTGATCCAATTGCAATTGGAAACATTTTAGGATCGAATTCACTGCCAAAATTTTTTTCTTTACTAATAAGTTCACTTTTGCTATATGATTTTCGTCGTTCTTGAATAAATTGATTTAATTTTTCAAATTCAGAAAATTTCGTTGCTCCATCAGCATCGGCAAAAAGACAATATTCACCACGAGCGGCCAGAATACCGATACGAATTGCACCACCTTTTCCACGATTTTTTACCAATGTTATGACACGAATTTTTTCCGTTCCATATTTTTGTACATAACCTAATGCTATCTGGGTGGTTTTATCACGACTTCCATCATCAACAACGATGATTTCATATTTAAAGGATTTTTGTTCAAGAAAATCAATAGCTTCATCTAACATTGTTGGTAATCGATTTTGTTCATTATAAGCTGGTACAATTACCGATAAATAATGTGTTGATGGTTGAATATCTTGATAAGTAACCGTATGTTTTTTACTCAGGAATATTGTTCCCAATTGTGGTAATGGATGATGTTCACCAGAAATTGGATCCAAATAAAATCTTTCATCTTTATAAATTAAAATTCTTGGATATTTATCGGTTGTCAAACGAATTAATATCGAAATAAATATGATTGTTATGATTATAATCGTTAACAATGCAATCAGATTATTTATGGTTAGAAATTGATGAAAAAAGCACGTCATGTTAGGTTTTTTTTTTGTCTTCGATTTTCAATTAACAATGGCCAAAATTTTCATAATTCTATTGAATCATGTTTTTATTTGGATACCTGAAGAAAAAACCAAAATAATACACGTGTGCAATGTCTGTTTTTTGTCATCAAATTGTTGTGATGAATATATCATTTGATATCGAACCAGGAATTTTTTTTCAATCCAATGTAACACCATCTATTGGTCAAACATGATAAACAAAAACAAAAACAATTACATAGCGCCATCTTTTGGACAAACAATTTTGATTTCTTTTTTTAAAAATTTTTCCGTTTGTTTTTTATAATTGCTGAACAAGCAACAAAAAATATTTTTTCATTTCATTAGACAATAGAATTCCTTTTGAAAAATCTATATATAGAAAATGAATGAATACACAAAGAGAGAGAATATGAAAACAAAAGAAAAAAAAAAAAAAAAAAAAAAAAAAAAAAAAAAAAAAAAACCTAACCTAACCTCACTCAACTATGAATCATAGTCATAGCCATCAACCTAACCTCACTCAACTATGAATCATAGCCATAGTCATCAACCTAACCTAACTCAACAAAGGTGTCAGATAACTTTGCTTGTAAGGATTTTTTTTTTTGTATCAAAAAAAAACTAATTTGTCAACATATATTTTTCAGGCAAAATAGGAAATAAAATTCAACAAATATTTTCCGGATTTTTTTCTTTTTTTTCTCTGTCTCCATTGCTTTCAATGAAAGTTTTTTTTTTGAATATAATGAATTTGATGAACATCAGCATAAAAAAATGAATATAAAGCAACAAAAAGAAAAAACAACATTTCCACGCAAACTAAACTAATTGTTCATTCAATTCAATTCAGCCATTACCGCCAAATGTTTTTTATATGTGTAAAGTAAAAGTAAATGACAAATTTAATGACGAGGCATTGTGTCTGATGAATTCAAACAAAACAACAAAAAAAAAAATGAATCCGGATAGATAGATTCTGTATTTTATCATTCAAAGATTGATGTAAGATATTATCAAGAGAAGAACAAACAGAAAAAGAAAAAGATCTTGATTCATGAATGACAAATTTTTTTTCAATGTGTGTTCTACATTGGAAAAAGAATTTTGATTTAAATGAATGAATGGCTAATAATAGTGTTTTTATTTCGCTCTATCTCTCTCTCTCCCACTTGTTTTAACTTGATTGTTAAATGATGATGATGATGATGATGATGAAACTGATACCACGCATACATCTTTATTGATGTAACAACCGAAAAAAACCATCATCATTTTGTTTGAAAGAAATTGAAATTTTCTTTTTTGGCTATGGATGAAATAATGAAAAAAAAGACAATTAAAAAAAAAAGTAAAAACTTTGAACAAGTTTTTTTTGTTTGTTGCTGTAAGTTGTTTCTTGTTGAATTTCGAAAGAATCATCAACACAGACAAAGCAACAATGGAGAGGATGAATAACGTGATTCAGAATTTTTTTCTTTGAGAAAAAAAAGTGAGTTACAAATAAATTGGAAAAAGATTTATAATCAAGAAAAGATCATAAATAACAATTACAAGAATCTATAGATTTGAGAATTACAAAAAGAAAGGATGATTTTTAATTTGTTGTTAATTAAATAAACTTTTACTTTTTTCTTCCTCAAATTCAAAATTAAATTGATTGATTGATTGATTGACAGGATTCTATACTGAATTTTCATCCATCATTCATTTTGTTTAACCGAATAAACATTGTAGTTTTTCCTTTTCTTTTCTTTTTCAACATCATTAATCATTTTTTTCATCTTTTGGGTAAAAATAGCATTTTTTTTGCGAAGAACAATCCAACAACCCAAAAAACATATGACGATTTTCAACCAAAAAAAGAATGTCTGAAACACCAAAGAACAAATCATCAATGGATCAACTATGGATATTTGTTGATGATGATAAACATTAAAAATGTCAACAATTTGTTCAAAAAGGTAATCATCATTTTGAATATATGAACGATACAATAACGTTTTGAAATATTTTCGTTTTTTCTTCTATCGAATCATTAGCAAAAAAAAAATGGGAGACTTTTTTTTACAACATTAAATTCAACATTTACTTTCTTTTCTTTTTTCAATCGACAATCATATCATCATCATCATCAAAAAAGTACTCAAAAGAATACTACATCCTTCTTCTTCTCTATTGATAAATGAAAAAAAATAATAACGGCTATTATATCGTCAACAATCATCATTTGATGATGGTGGTGGTGGTAGTTGAATGAAAAGAAACTTTTTTTTCGATTCAACATCTCTTTTACAATTATTATATATGGTACGGATATAATGAAATCGAATAAAAAAAAGAATAAAAAAAGAAGAAGAGATCCACGAAGTAACTTTACTTGATATGGTTGGTAGTATTTTCAATGGATGTCTTAAGTAAAGATTTTTTTTCATCATCATCATCATCATCATTGTTGTGATGATGGTGAAGGATAATAATCGTTGTGTTATGCTGAACAACAATAACGCACACGAGGTTTCATCATTCATCAAAGATGCTCTTTACGATGATGATGATGATGAAAATCGAGATTTTTTTTTCTACCAAGAAACAGGCAGACAGACAACAAAGAATTGAACTTGTTGATTTCATTTTGATGTCTATGCTAAATTCTGACTGATTTTTGCTTTCACTTGTAATTTCACTATAGTTTAGTCTGTTCAAATTTTCAAATGTAAACTTATTGTTTGTTTTTTTTGTTGAAAATTTTCTGTTTTTTTTTTGATGATTATAATGTTCAGCATTTTGATTTGAGCAGTTAGTTTATTTGACATTTTAAATTGTCTGTGATATTTTGAAAAAAAACTTCATTTTTCTTTGTTTTGGCCATCAAATTGAAAAGA